CCTTAACTACATCATTTGTCACTATTACTATTCTCACTTAGAATTGTCTCCGGTATTATTTCACTTGCTCCACTTGTTACTCTAAATCACTTTTGTTTCGCAACGTTAAATTCTATGTTAGCAAATTCCATACAATGTTACGTGACATTTTATTTTTATTCAATTTGCCTACTAATCTTATAATTTCACAGACATCCTATGTGTAGTTCTATATATGAAATTAATTGTTTTGCCACTTGACACTTCGTATTTAATTATGATTATAACCAAAGTGATTTCAATTACATCTCATACTAATACTATTTTAATGTAACAACATCTACCTATCTTTAAATTTCCTCACTGGATTTTATTTCCTAATATAAAAAGCCATTTACATATAAATGATTGAACAGCTTGATAATAAATTTGTCAAAACAATTCTCCTCGCTGAATTACCTGTTTCGATTCACAACAGTAATCTGCTTGCATCTTTGTCAAAGTTGCTTAGGTGCGAAGAAAGGTAAATCAGTTTAGCATATTGCTCTCAATGAGAAATTCGAATACATCCATGGCTAACTGAATAACATTAGATACCCATGTAGTTTTTTAATTATAACATGAATAAACTCGTTAAAAGTCGCAACTGATGATTGCGTAAAAGAGATGACTGTTTCGTAATTCTTGGTTTATTGGTGATTCTCAGCAGCGTATCCTTATTCCGTAGCAATCGATAAAACGAAATAACTTAGACAAATGAAAAGTTACCTAGTTTCGCCTCATTTCTATGAGAGAGACATAGCACTACAATAATAAATGAAATTATTGGAAAAATAAAATAAGGAAAACACGCGAACAGTGAAGAAAGTTTTGTTTCCGACGATTCATTTTCATGAACTGTACAGGTTTCAGATTTCGAGTAGCTAATGCTTCAGCTATGTACATATGACGTTAGAGGGACTCTGTGAAGCACTGTGAAGTATTCATGATGTAGTGCTCGACGTTCGGAGATGACAAAGCATTCGAGGACAGAGTGCTGCTATTCTTCTTTTCTCCTCTCGCTTACTAAGCTGGACAGTGTTCCAGAATGCGTCTATGGACTTGACGTTGTGTATGGCTGAAATACTTTGCTCCACACGAGCAAGTAAATTGATAAATGCACAGTAAAGTGGCCAAAAGCGGTATCTTATCCTTAACGTCAGACTGGATTAACTATTTACTGGAGAATGTGATATGCAAGATGGCTGTTGGAAATGTGTTTTTCAGACATTGAGAGAGGCAGTTTCTGAGAATTTCTGCTGCTATGTCACCTTTAAATTCCAGGTTCATGAAGAGAGTTTTCATAGGAACAGTTGTGGTTTTTGGTGATGGAGGCTTCTCTTTCATGTTTTTGTCTATAAAACCTGGTGGATACCTGTTCTCTACTAGTGTTTCACGTAATAAATTCAATGCTTCCTCTATCATGTCTTTTGAACAGATTTTTGTAATCCTTGAACAGAATGCATGTACCAGGTTTCGCTTTCGAATCAGTGGGACAAAGCTCTGGAAGTTGATAAAATGTCCCGTTTTTGTTTGCTTGCGATATATCGATCTATGGATCGTACAGTTATGTCTTCTGGTAAGTAGTACACCGAGGAATGGAAATGCCATGTTTGAATAACGCTGTAGTTAGTGTATGTTTTTGCAAATTACTGAATGAATTCATCGAATAGTCTTTTTTATGAATCGTTTATTTTTACTTGTATTCACATGCACTTATCAAATCAGCCTTCCCATTAGAGGCGTTGGACCTCTTGCTTCAGCTGTATGTAGAAGATGAACTCATAAAGCAAGTCTAAGAATAGTAGGAATACAATATATAATTTTAAGTGCTGTATTAACATCAACTTTATGCTCACTATCTACAAGACGTGCTGTAAAAGTGATACGAATAGATTTTGGTTGCACCATGTATCACTATACCGGATGACGTTCGCAAATATGATGTTGAACGCGCGATGTAGCTGGCTCCCCAACTGCAGTCAAACTGGTAGATACATATAGAGGCTTCAAAATTAGGTACTATATCTTTTTTCTGGAACGTAAAATAGGGGTAGTAGTGGAGATACAAAGTCCACTGTTGCACTGAAAGCTCTTTTAAATCCATTCTTAAGGTGCTGTGTTATTTCGCTGATGTTGTCACCGGAGAACTGCAATTTTATGAACAATGTTGTTTTGGTGCTGTCGCTATGCTGACTCTCATTGTTGTTAAATTCATATCTATCTGAATGAACTTATCCGGATAATTATTGTTCCCAAGTAACTTTCTCATAATCTTAAGCTCCTGATTGAGGCAGTCGTTTGAACAGAATATCCTGGCTCTAAGAACCAGACTCTTTGCCAGGTTACGTTTATACTTCACAGGTGCAAAACCCGAAAAATAACCTGTTCTTGTAGGTTTCCTGTACACACTCCATTTTAGTGTGACATCTTCTTTCCTGACCAGCAAGACATCTAGAAATGAGATACTGTCATTTCTCTTTTTATCTACGGTGAATTTTATTGCTGAATTGGCATCATTTTACTTGTCGAGCATGTTAATTACTTCATTGTCATTTTTTCTAACCAGAAGTGTATCATCCATATATCGACAGTAGAAATCCAACTCCTTAATTACTCCTTTCAGCGATCTATCCTCTAACTTAGCGAGGAACTATCAGCTAGGATTGAACTTATTGAGGAACCCATAGCCATGCCATCGATTTGTTCATAGTATTTTATATTAAAGAAGAAGTGAACATGCGCTGTAAAAATCTTCAAATAATTTGCTTCATGGGGAATAGAGAAATGCCTATTTCTTTGTTTCGCATAGGAATCGAATCACATTTAAAATCCACCCTCTCCATCAACAGCGCACTAGTAAACAAGGGGGATACATGAAAAGATATCGTACACTCGTCATTCACACTAAGATCTATTATTTTTTCGACAAATTAAAAACTGTCTTTTATGCCAAGTTTTACCAAGTCGCTACAGAAACTTCAAGGCGAAAATATATTAAAATTTCTAAAAATATAAACAATGGCCTTATTTTTCGCTGTAATCGGGGAAGTGAAATGACGCAGGTTGGTGAAAGACTTCGGGAAGCCAGTCAGCCGATGTGCCTACTTTCGATAAAAGCAAAAGTAAGGATGGGTATCTGGAATGTTCGCACAATGTACGAAACTGGAAAGGCTGCCCAGGTAGCCGCTGAAATGAGAAGGTACAGAATAGAAGTGCAGGAAATCTGCATGAGCGGATGGGACGGATGTGGTACGTGCCAACTACCAACTGGAGATACAATAATCTTTTCCGGCCAAACAGAGGACAACCTTGAGCACACCGAGGGAGTGGCCGTCATGATGTCACCAACAGAAGCCAAAGCTCTCATGCAGTGGGAACCAATCTCCTCCAGGATAATGACAGTCAGGTTCAACTCTAAAGGAAGGAAAGTTACAGTCATTCAATGCTATGCGCCTACAAACGTCTCAGAACAAGAGAGGAAGGAGGCGTTCTTCAAACAACTACAACCAATAATGGACAACGTCCCAAATGGCGACATCAAAATCCTGATGGGGGACATGAATGCGAAAATAGGAGGAGACAACACAGGAAGAGAACTCAACATGGGTTAAGAGGCTAACGGTGAAATGAACGACAATGATGAACTCTTCTCCGACTTCTGCGCCTTCAATGATTTGGTGATTGGTGGCAGCGTTTTCTAACACAAGGACATATACAAGACGACATGGATTTCACCAGATGGACACACCAAAAACAAGAAAGACTTCATCTCAATCTCATGGAAGTGGAGACGGAGCCTACTTGACACAAGGTCGAGGGGAGGAGCAGATGTGGGTTCAGACCACTATCTAGTACAAAGGACTTTCAAGGTGAAGGTGAAAGCCTCGACGATAGCTGTGAATAGGCAACAATGCAAGTTCAACACTCCAAAACTGAAGGACGCAACACACATAGAGGGCCACTTTCACTGCAACTGTAAAAGCAAAGCAGGAAACACTACGTGACATCACTGAAGAATCATGCGTGGAAGAACAATGGAACTCTCTGAAGATGATTTTCAACGAAACGTGTTCAACGGTTCTAGGAAGAAAGAAAGACAAAGAATATAAGAATAAAACTTGTGCACTAGGGTAGAGTGTAATTCCATTATGGGTAAATTTTGTTTGATAAAGTCTCACAGCGTTATACAGTAATGTTTACTGATGACGTTTCGAGCACAATTTATTGCTCATAATCATATCAAGGTAATCACACGACTTCCTAAATTCACTTATATAGTTCCATTGTTTTTCTCTTGATTTTCACTTGATTTGATTGGTAATAGTATTTTCCATATTTCAGGTATGAGTGACGAGTCATTCCTATTGCATGTGTTGGGTGTAGACTCGATGAACAAGGATTCAGTAATCAACCTCTCTCTCCACCTACCTAGATTACTTTTTAGAATTTTAACCCTCTCCCACCCTATTGTGTGGTTGTGTGTTAGCGCATGCATTGCAATTGCTGAGCTTTTTTCTAAATTACTTATCTTCTCGGGGTCAACCATTTTTACCTTAGCTAAATTTTTATGCTCTGACAATCTGACTACCCCTGACCTACTAGTTTGACCTATGTAGTTGACCTCACAGTAATTGCATGGTATTTTGTAAATAATATTATTTTGTCTAATTGGGTCAACTGGGTCCTTTAACCTACAGAGCTTGTCCCTGAGTGAGTTTGTAGGTTTAAATGCCACCCTAATTCCTATTTTATTCAGAATCCTACGTAGTGTCTCAGATGTCCCCTCTTTATATGGTATAACTGTGGATGACTTATATTCTTTCTTATTTATGTTATTATTACTAGTTTCACAATTATTTTTATTTTGTTTTTGGCCTTTAATGATCTTCCTAATGAATTTTATAGGATTACATCGAGTTACTGTAAAACTAAATAATATACGAAATCAAATTGAAAAACTCAAACACAAACTCAAATGAATGATCAATGACAAAGATTATATAATTGTTGTTGAAACATCCAACAAAGCTAGAGAATCCGCATTAAGAAAATCAAAAATCACGCAAATCAAAAAATTCAACAAACTAATAGAAGAAAAGAACACAACAAATGAAACTGATATCAATGCTTCATCCTCTATCGACAGAACAAAGTGGGTGATCAACCTCTCATCAAGGGAACTAAACTCTAATGAGATAAAAGTACTTGAAAAAGGACTAAACTTCAACGTAACAGTTAATAAATTAAAACCAGAGGACGTCATTCCTAACATAGAAGCAACACTAAACTCAATAGATAAGACTACAGCAGAAGAGGTTCGAGCACAATGTGCATTAACCCTAAAAAATCAAAAGAAAACAAAATCAAACTTAACAAAACCAGAAAGGGAAGCTTTAATTAGTCTTAAACAGGATAAAAACATTGTCATCGCTAAAGCTGACAAAGGAAACGCCACCGTAGTTTTGGATAAATCTGACTACATCAAAAAAGTTACTGAACATATTCAAACGGGTCCATATGAGGAAATTAAGAAGCCTGTAGATACAATAATGAATAAGGTTAAGAAATCTACAGCGGAACTAATACGCAGAATGAAGCCATCACTGGGTGAGTCTAAATGGTTTAATTTAATGCCTAAAACTAATAATGCTAGTAGAATATATGGTACTATAAAAATACATAAGCCAGGTTACCCCATAAGACCAATAGTAGATTTTAGAAATACCCCCACGTATGAATTATCAAAACACTTAGCTCTAATACTTTGTCCCATTAGAAATCGTTCAAAATCTAGATTAACTAATTCATATGAGATGAAAATAAAATAAATGACATTCAACTAGCGAATGATGAAACAATGGTTAGTTTTGATATAACTAGTCTTTATACTAATATACCAGTTAATATGGCCTTAGAAGCAGTTAAAAAAGAATTAACTGCGGATCCGGAACTCAGTCATAGGACAAAGTTGTCCATCGAAGAAATTATTTTAGGGATTCAGTTATGCCTCACATCTACTATCTTTAAGTTCCAAGGCAAAATATATAGACAAACAGAAGGTGTAGCAATGGGATCACCAATATCCCCTATCGTAGCGGACATATTTATGGACAGCTGGGAAAATAGTGCCCTTAATACATTTAACCCTACTCCGAAAATATGGTGGAGATATGTGGATGACACTTTCACAGTGTTAAAAACAGAACACATCTCTAGCTTCTTGACACATATAAACTCACAAGTTGAGGGAATAAAATTCACATTTGAATCAGAAAATGAACAAGGAGAATTAGCTATGTTAGATTGTAAGATAAAAAGAATAGAAGAAGGCAAACTACACACTAGTGTTTATAGAAAACCAACGCATTCTAATAGATATTTAGACTTTAATTCGTCTCATCCTTTAACTGTTAAGGCAGGCTTAGTTAAATGTTTAACAAACCGAGCAGTGGCACTAAGTAGCACAAAAAAAGATCTAAATGATGAATTAAAACAGATAGAAGAAGCGTTGGTGTTGAATAACTATCCTATAAAATTCATTAGGAAGATCATTAAAGGCCAAAAACAAAATAAAAATAATTGTGAAACTAGTAATAATAACATAAATAAGAAAGAATATAAGTCATCCACAGTTATACCATATAAAGAGGGGACATCTGAGACACTACGTAGGATTCTGAATAAAATAGGAATTAGGGTGGCATTTAAACCTACAAACTCACTCAGGGACAAGCTCTGTAGGTTAAAGGACCCAGTTGACCCAATTAGACAAAATAATAATAATAATAAAAATAAATTATATGAAAATCAAGAAATACATCTCTCTGTTAGTTTTAGTAATGGTAGTATATTAAAATGTGGTGTTGTTTGTTAGCTCCTCACCAACTGTCTAATGTTTTTTTTTGAAAAGAAATCTAGGTTATATCTACGGGTTATTATTTTATAACAACAATAACTTTTTTCTAAGAAATGTGTTAATACATGCTGCAGAATTCTGGCTATTTCCTTCTACGAAGTATCTAACTCTTGCAAAGTAAATCCGTATGTCATTCGAGGCAGTAGTCTTCTTTCCAAAGCACTCTCTAGTAACTTGCTATGCTTTTTCTCCACTTCCCTTAGATACTCATCGCGTTTAGCTGAAACCATTTGGAAATAGGTGTAAGTAAAGCTGGTACAATTAGGTGGATAGAAGATTAGGTAGCAAAGTGATTCAAGTTGGCCACCATATTATGTATTTCAATCAACTGTAGTTCTCAGAGTACTATTATTATTATTATTATTAATAATACCTTGTGCTCCTAGGGAATAAAGGGTTCAACAACACATCTCAACTTTGTCCTGTTTCCTCCTGTCTTCTTCACCTGGGCCTACGATTGAACATAACCTCTCATCTCCTCCTCCACCCGAAACGACCTCCTCCATGTCACCTGAGGATGACCCACTCGTCATTCTTCATTGGGATTTTACTCGAGCGATGGCCTGCATTGCTCTCGATATCGTTTGATGACCTCTCCAACGTATGCCTGACCCACTTCCATTTTCTCCTAAATATTTGTTCAACAATAGGATCTTGGTTGGCTTGTTGGGCTGCAGAGTTTCGTGCTGACAATTCTTTCTGGTTAGCTGACTAGAGAAGGGGTCAGTTGCTGATAAAATTCTGTAACATGTTGAATATCTTTTCCGTGACACGCATGTCAAGATTCCGGCCCGCATCTGTACTGAAAATCCTCATCTTGTTTTTATCCTGAGTGGGAACTTAAGATTTTCAAAATGGTTTCAGGTTGACGAAGACGTGTATTCTCTTTCCGATCCTAACTGGCTGGCTTTGACGTGTTCATCCGTTCGGCATGCCTGTGGTTAAAACTGTGTTTCCTAGATAAATGAAGGAAGTAACCACTGACAAATCTCTCAATTTGATGATGATTAGTGCTGGCTTTGAACAAATATACTCTCTCTGATAACTTGAAGAACGTCGGATATCAAAGAAAATGATCATGAATGTCAGTGAATGCTCATGATTAATGTTCAAATTACATTTTATTTGGTTTGATTATAAAGTTAATATGAATAAATGTTTGCTTCAGAATCGGAGATATGAAATCGGGTGCAAGATTGTGAGTATGTGAATGTAAAATGGAATAACCAAATATGAGAATTTCTACTTGTAAGATGCTTAAAGACACAAAGGGGAAAGAAACAAATGAATTTCATTGAAAAAACGTGAATTTAAAAAGGACTGTATAACGAGACAGGGTCACAATAATAACTGAACTTCTTTTCTCTCCTCTTCAAAGCCTCAAGAGGATTGCTATAGCCTTTCCTCCTTGCAGTATTCGAAATTTACTGAATATATATTGGCAGTGAAAAAGAACTTTTCGAAGCGTTCATTATTGTCTATTTAACACTTTATTTTAGGCAAACTGGTCAGTATTCTCAAATACGATGAACTGAGTTCCTAAGGCAGCGTTCAGTATAACTAGCCCCGAGGTGTTTTTGAAGTGAAGAACTTGGGAAGTGGTGGCTAGCTTAGGACCTTTTCTTTTAAGATAGGGTGTCACCATCAAAAGAGAATTACAATCTGTCAACATTGGACTGTTGACAGCATTTTTACATGCTTTTCTGATGCACCTATCAATTGTAGCTTATCTTTCGTACCGAAATGAAAGACTGGGAATACGGCTCCACGAAAATGAAGGAAATATTAAACCTCCGACTACTGATAAGACGATAGAGTGTTAACCTATTTCAAGAGCAACATTACCAATGAGTCTACAAAGGTTGGATTTCAGATATCATAGAGTGCTACTAAGCCTGAGATTTCGTTTTCAATAACTTGCAGCCAAGGTTTCAACCTCTCACTCAACATGTACTGGAATTAGCAGTAATGCATATATGTAATGACATAATGAAATATTTAGATTTATAGCGTGCTTATACAAAACATTTTTGTCAAATAGAGATAATACTAAAAATATTAATCCAAAACAACTCAGCATACTGAGTCATCCCAATTCTAAAGGAGCAGGATTGAAACAAGTTGTTTTACAATCAGTAAAATCCAAATTTGTCTGATGTATACTATTGTAAACATTTCAAGTTATTCCTCCATCCTTCAGAACAGAATATTATGATATTGGGCAGATTTTCCCTTGTTTCGAATTATACATACATGCCAGCTGTATTTTTACTATCAGCCTGACATTAATGTAAACAAGAATCTGATAGGATATCGAAAGATCTAATTACAAAATCTGGCATTTTTCTATTGTTTATTTTTCTAAAGTTTACTTTTCATATTTATTATCTGGCAATTCTATGTAAAGAAATTATCAAGCGATTTTTGTTTATGCTAATTGTAAAGAAAACTTGGAGAGAGAGAGAAAGAGAGAGAAAGATTGTGTTTTCCGTATATCTGTTTGTATAAATTAAATTCTGTTTTGTTTCTTATCAAAACACAGACAGAGAAAAATATATCTGTATGAAATTATAACCAACTCTTTTTTTTTGAAATTATCCTTTTGAAGATATCTGACCGTATTGTTCTTTTAAATGTTTAGGTTATTTTATAGGTGTTTATAAAGTTTTACTCAAGATGGATACCAGTACGTTTACTGCATTGTATTAATATTTTGTGTAAGATTGACATATCTGAACTTCAGAATACTTTACAAGATTTTCTTGTTGACAGTAGGCTTTCTGTTACCTTTCATATTCAATGTGTTATGCTTTTAAAAGCCAGGAAAGCTATGCGGATTTTATAGCAATGAATCTTTTCTCATTCTGTACCTGGGGAATTAATGAAGATAAATTAGTATACGTGCTTATTCGGAATGCATTCGAAATAAAATAAAAAAAGGAATACAGGTTCTGTAGGTATCATTTATTTTTACGAGTTGATCAGGGATTGATATCAGTTAGAGAACTATAGAAAACCAGCACTGGAGTACTGGATAGCCGTTTCATCCTAGTTTGAGACTCTTCATCGGTACGCATCCACACCACGGGTTTCAAAACCAGGAGCTTCCGGTTACAATACGAGCTTGTATACCATTCAGCCAGTGAGACCCGACTCAATGGTCAGTCCATGAATTCTAACTTCTACCAATTCGTGATGAGTGAGGTCCATCCAGTCAAGTGTGAGGGTAGATGTCCCACTGATGACATTGGTTGGTGGTAGCGCTAAACCACGGTTCGGTAGAAGTAAGAATCCACGGACTGACCATTGAATCAGGTCCCACTGGCTGAACGGTATGCAGGATTGCCTTGTGAAAGGTAGGTCCTGGGTTCGAACCCTGTGGTGTGGCTGCATACTTTGGAGAGTCTCAAACTAGGATGAAACGGCTGTTGAGTGCTCCAGTGCTGGTTTTCAATGGTGATCTAAATGATATCAATCCGTGATCAAGCTCGTAAAAACAAATCTAATCTTTAGAAACCAACTAACGAAGATATCATTTAATTACGTGGATGTTTAATTGAATGGATTTTTGTTTTTCAGAGGCTGTAGGATGGGTATATAAGCTTTTAATTAAAGACGATGTTTTGGTATCTTTGTAAAGTTATAACTTCTTTATCTTTCACATATTTTCTTACTGTTGATTTTCACTATTTGTCATCTCCTTTCAGCTATCAGTATCTGCTAATATTGTATAAAACATACTGAGTAGCACTGTTAACTGTTTTAGACAATACAACATTCTGTCAGCAATCCATCTTTTTCGTCTTTTGTATTTTCGGATGCAAGTAGTATTCTTGTTGCAACATTTGACACTTTGATTGCAGATTAATGTATTTATTTAGCGCGTTATCGAAGACAGATTGCCTGATTTCTTTCATAACTCGCCATATCAAATTATTCAAAACCCCACAGATTGTTGTAGTCACAAAAAATTAACAAAAATATCAACATTTCATCTACAGTAGGAGATGTAATATATATATGTCCTGTACTCAAAGCCATATAAATGCATGTGTGATTAAAATATTTTCAGACATAGAAAAATTAACAACGAACTAGTACTCAAGTACTATACGAATTCAGTCTTCTGGAGCAACAGCTGTAAGCTGAACAGCTTTATCAAAATGCACTATAATACTAGGTGAAATAGGTTTGGTTCTTAATATAGACAAGATTCAATTTGAAAAAAACAGAAAGTTAGTGATTGCTGACCGCATTCATAACAAAGAACAGATTAAAAGATCTCTTTGAGTTGACTCCACCCATTCCCAAAACACATAGATCCATATAATGTCAATTTAAAGCCTTCATTTAGCATGAAATATGAGTACGTATGCAGCACAAATTTATTAGTTATGAAATTAAAAAAAAACTGAAGAATTTTGAATGACTATGTGAAGTATTATTACGGCCTGAATTCTGAAGACGATTCATTTGACACATATGTTATGGTACCAAAAATATTTTTGGTTCGTTTCAGGTTATATTTATATCTATTAGGTTTGCTTTCTATTTGTGTGATTTACAACGATTATATCTGCTGAAGATGTAAGGGACTCAATAGCGAATAAAATTCCAAGTTAATGAAAAAATACTGTGACAGTATATTACAAAAAATACAATTAACGAGTTATAGAAATTAATGATTACTTGATGACATGGTTTAAGTCCGCTGCTAGAAATTATTAATATAATCCGCAGAAGTTATTACTGCTGGGGTCGTGTCTACCAGTAGAGCCTGAGAACCAGATGTAGAATAATCTTTGGATAAGGATGAGAAGTTCCTGCAAAATCCATAGGATAAAAAAAGATTATTTGGGGAAACAAGTAGACTTTATGGACCAGTGAGAAGATGAGGCAACGAGCAGCATGCTATACTTTAAATGCACTCCACATTTATGTATATTTTACAGTGAATC